CCCCAAAACCCCAAAACCCCAAAACCCCAAAACCCCATTATTAAAATAAAACTTGAAAGTTAATATTTTTCAGCCCTATCGTTGATAGACAAGCTCAAATTTGCATAAATTGTTGGCTGAATCTCACAATTCCTGCGTCTTCCCATTATGCTTGTAAGTCCAGGGGTCAAGAGTTACTCTGAATGTATTGTCAACCACAGAGGAAATGATGCTTGATAGTAACTATATTTAACTTGAGTGACTTACTGATCAAGGTGTCTCAAGGCAAGGATTTGTATTGACCTCTATTAGTTTTATATTGAAATCATTTGTGACCATAAAATCATACCCAAACAATTCAAAACAGTTGTTATGTTGACTTGGATTAAGTTTCTCCTCAACTGCTTTAAAGGAATCAGAGACTAGAGTTTTGATCTTTGGATAAATAGAGGTGTAGAAGCAAGCTTTATTTGACTGGAACTCTTTTGGATACTTCTTCTCTAAGTATTTTTGGAAATCATTGAAACTAAGCTTATTACTACTCTCATATTTTCCATACTCCTCTCATTTATTTTTGAATAGCATCATTGGTCAAATGAATAAATTTATCAGCAACATTGCTATGACTGAATTCTTTACTAGCAGTTCGGAGGTACCCATCTTGGAAGAAGTAGCCTTTGGGCTGATTATTGAATCAAGTATAAAGTCCAAAGCATCTGATGTCAAACTTTCTATTGCCACTACTTCCATTATTGATCAGTAAAGGATTATTGATATATTTCTGGATGACTCAGCAATCCCTCTTAGAATTTTGAACGTATTTTTCAATTGTGCTGAGCTTATCTGAAATCTTAATGCCAGTGCCTCTGTTGGTATATTCTCCAGGCTTCAGAATCCACTTATTATTCCTTTTATTAGCTTTATTAGAGATGTAGTGCTCTTTGAAGTCAGTCATAGCTTCTTCTTTAGTGTCTTCTTGTACAAGGAAGGTGAGTGGGATGTTTTCGTTCATGTTTTCTCCCATATTGTTGTAGTACTCTTTCATGTTGAGAAAGAGGTTCTTTTTATTTGACAAATTGTAATTTCCATCGACTCTGTTGTAGATTAGTGATTGAGTCTGAACAACGCTAAAATTATTGCTTGAGGCTTACCCAGGTTTAGGATCTGAGCTTGGCAGCTGCTCAGCCAGATCTAGAACAGAGTTAGATAGAATAAATACCTTTGCGTAATAAAGGAGTCCATATGAAATTATAATCATGCTGGTTTTTGTAGATTTTCCACCATCCTCTTCTTTTTAAGACTGATGCCACGATCTTGCCATTATTATGAGGCAATACGAAGGCTTTTAAGATATTACTTGAGAACATTGGGTCTATTTTAGAAATCTTCTTTCAATTGGTTTCATTTGCAGATCCATTTAGAATAGTGAGCATTGAATGCAATCAATGAGTTTTTACTTCATTAAACAATTCCTTACTTGGGTCAAGATAATCAGAGGTCCTGTTTGGCTTGAAGCTCATTAACTTCAATATCTCCATGAGGATAGTAGAATGGTCTGAAGAGACAATAACTTTACTTGTAAGAAGATGATAGATTATTCAAAACATCTCCCAATATCTGATTCAGGTATTGTACTGAGAATTTGCTCAAAACTGGTGTGTAATTTTAGCTAACAATTTCTTGCACTTTACACCTGAGTAGTGAGCTTTACAGTAGCTGACTACCTTCTTAGTAATCCTTGACTCGAGACTTTCGTTGATTCTCATTTTTGTTTTTGGAGTGGCTGTGACCTACATTTAGAGGACTGGCTTACCTTCTCCTCAAATTGATGGGTGATATTCATCTTTGGTTTATACACTACCTCTAAACTATCAGGAATATAAGGTACCAATAATAGAGGTCTCTAGTTGAGTATCTACCTTAGGACGAATACTTTCATCAGTCTTTAATTCCTCGTAACCATCTTGAGTATCCACAGATATCTGTCTGCGTTGGGATTCTCTGAAATGTCTGATCCTCTCATCGACTTGTGTTGATAATTTATTTTCTTGGGAATTTGGGAAGTTTAGGTCACGATTTTGTTTCTGAAATGCTATTTTCTTTAACTTCAAGACATTGTTGAGATCTATACAGCAATTCTCCACTAAATGTTCTTACTATGTTTATTCTCTATGGAATCAGCTGTAAATTTACCATTTATCTTATAAGCTTTCTGAATAGTTTCAAGGTCATTAGTGATCTGAATTTTATTCTTCAGTTTGCCTTTAGCCTTCAATGATTCTGCCTTCCTTGAGGTTTTCCTCTTACTGTAGTATTTTGTGGTCTCTCTTGGTTTAAATTTCAAGCCTGCAATTAGCTTGAACTTGTCAAGTTTCTGTGAAGATGCGTTTGGAGTGATTCAGTTATTTGAATTTATTCTAAAGGATTAGACTGAGTTTACTCAGATCTATAATCTGGAAAGGAGATTTTGTTCTCAAAGAAGTTCTTAGCCCTGGGTTTTCTGAAAATTTTGTCTTTTGGAGGTTCATTGAACCTTGAGGGAAGCGAGCTTGGAGTAATGTTTGAGTGAATACTTTGGTTCTGATAAAGCTTGTTTGAGATCTGGTCTAGCTTCCTCTGTTGTTCCTCATCATTTCCAACTAAGAGATCATAATGCTGAATTGAGGGATAGCTTGAGAGGTATTTTCTTGACCTTCTTCTCTGTAGTTAATCTTGCCAGTTGACTTTTTGATACTCTCCTTGTTATGTCATGAAGAGAGGGAGTCATACATTGAGGAATCTTTTGGGTGTACAAAAGTCTTGTTCCCTTGGAAATTTCTCATAAAGACCTTACTTTTTCTTGGTTGTGCCAGGACTAAGGGAATTATAATTAAAATTACAGTTGTTTTTAGACTTGATGAATTTTCTAATCAATTTCTTTCTAGCGCTTGACATGGTCTGGTTACCTCTTGCATCTATTTATGATCAGAGAACTCTTTACACATTATCAATTTTTCGAGAGGTTCAATGTTATCGTCAAGTAGAATGTCCTGAGGATCTGTTGCAATCTCCATTGAAGATTCAGTGTCAATTCTTTTTGAGTTATTTTCTATGATTGAAATTCTAGAGTTACTTGTTCCTTTTCTTAAGCTTATCGATGCTTTTTAGCAACTTATTTACTCACAATGCTGAGATCGAGGATGCTCCCATTTTTGTCTTGGGTGGTTGAAGGTGCAAGGACTGGAAGATTGTCAGTAATCTTTCACCAGTTTCCTTTAGGTCTGTAGTTTGAGACTAGTTTCGAAGGGTTATTAGGAGATCCTGGATCAATTTTAGGAGAAAGCGATCTTTCTTTTGATGAAACCAATGTTCTTCTAAACTTTTGATTTGTAAAATCTCTTCTTTCTATATTTTGAATATTGTTAGTATTTTATGGCAAAAATATAAGAAATTAAATTTTTTAATGATAATTGCGAAATTGTCAGGTTTTATTATTGTTTAAAATAGCTTTGCTAGATTAATTGCTCAAGGAACTCTTCTCAAGGAAATTTACCTTTTATTCTTCTCATTTATATTTAATTATATAAGAAAATAATTCAATTAAATGACCTATGTATGGGGTTTTGGGGTTTTGGGGTTTTGGGG